TGTGTGTGTGTGTGTGTGTGTGTGTGTGTGTTAGGGCTGTTTCTTTGTCTCCCTGAACCTTGTCTTGTCATTTGCACTGGTGCAAAGTGAATGCAAAGTGAGTGTAAGCTGGTACTAAAACAGAACGATGGAAATAACTGCAGAAAGTGTAGACTAAGGCTATGTCTACACTGTCCCATGGTGAGGACTACAGGATGTTAATGCAGAGAGCACCAAACAGTTGGGCTCTGAGTGCTGTGTGTGGACACTGCTGGCATGAACTAAAAGGTATCTAGTTCACATTAAAGTAATCCTCTTTGAAACAGAACTATATTCACATCCCCACAGTCTACATTGTGACCCAGTGCAGGCAAGCCCTAACAGAGACTCAGACTTTGTAACTGAGGACATTATAGATACACTGCAAAATGGATTCCCCTTTCCAATTTACTTTCAGTGATTTGACCCATATCATTTGATCAACATTTGTTCAAATGAACAGGGACTTCTACTGTACTCCTTTGCCAAACAGCATTGTAACAGAGTATCTTCATCAGACATTCATTGATTATCTCAACAACGGAGCTGAAATTAAATGCAATAGGGGCATGTAAAGGACTATAATAAGAAATTGCTTTTTTCTAAAAAGTATCCTTGGCTTTGTCTGGCATATGACCTAAGACCGACACATTCAGTTGTGAAGGTATCACTAATGATGTGCTAGTTCTCAAGGACGTATCAGAGTGCTGCAGCTAACACCCGATAACACTGCTCACTCCAGTGCTGACACACTTTGGCTGCTGAGTGCAAAAATCTCTCCTGAAAGAGACCCTAAGCAAAAAGCAAGGAGCTGCGTTTACTCACGGGACTGTGCAGCAGGTAACATAAAAATCCAACCTCATCCAGGCTGCTCTTTTCCAGAAGACTAAACAGTATGATTGTTGCATTGTTCAATCCATTTTCCTGTTTATTATTGGCCACCTCCTTTTCTTTTAATACTTCTCTGATAAATTCAACTTTCTTTTAGTTTATAAATGTTTTCAGCTTTCTTCCTTTTTAAAGTTTTCACACTTCTTTAGGTGTCTTCTCTGCAAGGTGGAGGAGTCTCACTACACACTTGCACAAGCAAGCAGCATTCACTTCTTGTCTGATGATGATTTTAATAGATGGAAGATCTGTGGCATAGTCTCTATGATGCCCTGCATCTTGTGCAGTTATTTACGCCAGTGTGAAGCATACTTGCTTTGCACTCACTCTGCACTGTTGTGAATTACTGTACAAGGTGAAGAGCAACAAAGAACTGGCCAGCCACTGGCCTGACTTGTTGGTTGTAGGATTGAGCCCTGCCAAATGTAATAGTTTGATGTGGCCCTTAAAATAGTTTGGTTTTAGAGCAGCTTCTTTCTCAGTGAAACATATCCTGCTAATTGTTTTCCTGTATTACTCTAAAAAGTATGACCCTTTAATAGTGATTTCAGAGAACAAATGAGCCTGTTTTGACTTTCCTCTTCTGCTAGTTGAGTGATCTGTCAGATTTCCTGTCGTCCATGAAGAGTCTCTCTCTCTCTCTCTATTGTGCACAAATGTATGGAAATATATTTGTATGTAAAACAAAATGAGATACTTAGCTCCCGAGCTTCCTAGGCTAGGTGTTTGTGGCGGCATAATCCCCACTAGCCAGTACTGTACCTATTAAAATGGCATAGATGCTCTTGACTCAAATCATCCACATTTTACATATTGGCAGGAATGTTTTCTCACTGAATGAAGTTAAAGCAAAACCATTATATATAGTAAACTATGGCTATAGAAATGATCATTACTCTGAGATCGTCCTGTCCTTGAACTTTATATAGGCAAGCTAAACGTACACATTTAATACATATACATCTCACAGTTGACCATGAATATAAAACATTTATTTGACACAAAACTACTGGGTGTACATACTTTTGGAGTCAATGTAAATACATCCCCACTCTCGTTTCAGCTCTGTTTGCAGGCGGTGGTGGGCTTCTGAGGGCCGAAAACAGTTTACTGTTTGCAGAGTAAAATAGATGGCTAACATCTGGTACTAAGTCGGGGACACTAATACACTGCACTCTCTCTTTGTTCAGCTGGCCTTGTGCTTAAACTGCCTGCTGTAGTAAGGATGTTTGTAGTTGTTTTATTTGTAGATAGAAGTCAGGACAATAATCTTGTGACTTGAAGAATTCTAACAGAGAACCTAGCACTGTGAATTTACTTTACAAAATTACCATAGTACCAATATAATTCCTAACCCTGCTTGTCATAGAAGACTCTCTTAAAAGTTCATAAAGTGCTCTCTCCCTAGTATCTCATTCTTTAGTCATAGCTTCATGGTTTAAGGCCTGAAGAGACCAGTAGATCATCTAGTCTGGTCTCCTGTATATCACGGGCCATTACATTTCACTTTGTTACCCCTGTATTGAGCCCAATATCTTTTGTTAGGCTTTAGCCAATCTTCAGAAAGGCACCCGGTCTTGAGCTAAAGACATCCAGAAAGGGAGACTCCACCACGTCCCTTGGTAGTTTGTTCTAATAGTTAATCACCCTCACTGCCAATAATGTGCCTTATTTCCAGCTGGAATTTGTCTGGCTTCAGCTTCCAGCCATGGGTTCTTTGTAATGACTTTCTCCGCTGGATTGAAGAGCCTTTTAGTACCTAGTATTTTCTCCCTATGAGGGTCCTTATACACTGTAATCAAGTGACCTCTTGCTCTTCTTTTGCTAAACTAAACAGATTGAGCTCTGTAAGTATCTCACTAAGATACTTTTCATTTTCTTCCATCCTGAAATAATTTTTGTGGCTCTTTTCTGCACCCTCTCCAATTTTTCAACATCCTTTTGAAATGTGGACACCAGAACTGTACACAGCATTCCAGTATCTGTCTCTGCAATGCCATATACAGAGGTAAAATAACCTCCATACTCACTACACCCCTGTTTATACATCCAACGATTGCACTGGCCCTTGTTGACACAGTGTTGCCCTGGGAGCTCATTCTGATTGTTTGTTCACTGTGACCCCTAAATTCTTTTCAGAGCCACTGAATTCCAGGATACAGTCCCCCATTCTATAGTACGGACTGCATTCCTTGCTCCAAGATGTATAACTTTGCATTTGGCTGTATTTGCTGTGTATGACCTCCCTGTCCTCATAATTACTCACCATTTTGCCAATCTTTGTGTTCTCTGCAATGTTATCAGCAGTAATTTTTATATTTACTTCTAAATCACCAATGAAAATGTTGAATAGCATCAGATCTAGAACCAGTCCTTGTAGAATCCCCCAAGAAATACCTCTATTTGATGATGCTTCCCTATTGATGACTACTATTTGAGATCTGTCAGTTAGAATGTTCTTGATCCATTTAACATGTGCTGTATGGATGCTGTAGAGTGCTGTTTTTTAATCTGAATGGTGTGCGGTACTAAATGAAATGCCTTACAGAAGTCTAAGTACATCTTCTCAGTTACTTTTATCAACTAAGCTTGTAATCGCCTCAAAGAATGAATTCAATTTTGTTTGCTAAGACCTAATTTTCCATGTTGACAGACATTAATTATATTCCTATCCTCTAATTCTTTACATTAAGGTATTTCAGCTAAGGGAGGGGTGGCAAACTGATTTGGATTAAATAAGAAACTGACTCCAACCTTTGCACAAAACTCAATATTCTCTGATCCAAACTACACCTATTTTGTGCTTGAGGTTCACTCTTGCTATCTTACGCATTTTTATGCACTTTTGTACCTCAAAAGTAGCTGAATTATAACGTTGATGTCTGAGATTTCCAGAACGTTCTTGTTTTGGCTGAGCTCAGCCAAACCAATAAGTTCTGGAAATCTGAGACAGCACTGATTAAAATTCATTTATTTTGGGGAGTTGAAGGTGGCAACCAACTGCACAACCATGGGCGGAACAGGTGAAGGAAATGGTAGCTAATTACACTGGGGCAAAACACCTACTCTACCATGACATTTGTTTGTATCTTTAATGTTCACCCAGAACAAATAGGATTTTAGTTTTTAAGTTCTCTGTACATTAAGTACCATGCAATTAATGTGTCCACTTTGGAAGTATGAAAGACCGAGTTGACCAGACCCCGCTTTGAACATGTGGGTCCAAGGAATGTTGGTGTTTCATTCTGGCTCTTAGTTCCTGAACCAGATTTCATCGATTATCATCATGTATTACTTCTCCACCTTTGTGACAAAAATGAAAGTACTGATAAAGAATCCATGTCATTTCCTAAATAGTGACACACAATGGTTTTTTGTATGTTTAAGTAAGGCTATATCAACACTACGAGCTAGGGGTGTGATTCCCTTGCTTGTGTGCACATACTCACACTAGTTCTCATTGAGTTAATGTGAATATAAATAGCAGCATACCTGCGGTAGCACAGATAGTGGCAGCAAAGGTCCAATGAGTTGTGCCAAGTAAATACTCACTGGTTTCAGGTGGGTATTTACTTGGCATGGTTCAGCCATTCCTCTGCTGCTACTACCCATGCTACTGTAGCGACACTGTGTGTTCACGAGCAGGGGAAATACACCCCAAGCTTGTAGCATTGATGTAGCCTAACTGTGTTAACTTAGGACAGATTGTGCTCCATTATACCAGAGTTAATCCAGAACAAGTCCACTGAAATCAGTGCCCTTACTCTGTGTTTTATGCTGGTGTATCTGAAATCTGAATCTATTCCCAAAATAAAATGGTGAGTTAAAATATAAAATATTGTGGTAGGGCTATTAAGTGGTCCTATTCAGTACTCTTGACTCTTTCAAGCCAGATAGGGTTTTGCCTGAATAAGGAGCAGATAAAGACCTCTAAATCAGTACTGCTCTTTATTTTTCCTCTTTAAGGCACATTTCAAAATGACACAGAAATAATGAATACACAAATCCACAATGAAGTAACCAGCGAGGCACTTAGGTTTCATGCCCAGTTATGAAGACATACTGTTCTTGACTTTGCTTTCGCTATCTTACAGAGCTCAGCTTCTCTACCAGGATCAGTGTCCTGCCAACCACCAGCTCATCATCCAAGTAAACTCACAAAGGCCCAAGAAGAAACTGAGCAAATATTTCCTAAGGTAGGTGAGAAAAACCTGACCCTTGTTGCATCCTTTCAGTTGAATTTCTCAGCTTGCTAGTTAGTTAGCCAAGCCAAGGCGGAGGGTTGGGGATAAATTGTCGGGTGTTGAGTGTTGGGGATAAAGGCCAATTCCTCCCTGATAGGAGTTCATTAGCTTCAGTGGAGTCACACGAGGGATAAATTTTGGCCCTTTGTGCTCATAGGTCAGCAGGTTGCTTTGTTTTCTCTGGAGCTGTGACTTTTGCTGTGAAAAGGAACATACACTGCAGTTCAGTATATCTCCAGCCTCATTCCCTCCTGCCCCAGAACTGTCAATTGTTTTTCTTATGCTTTTCTTACTGAATCATCACCAGAAATTCACCATTTTAGGTGTGGTTTTTTGTTTTTCAATTCCGATGTCTCCAAACCATTTAAGTTAAGTTTTATGCCTTAACCTGCACATTATTTGTATGTGCATAAAATGCAAAGGGGGAAGTCCAGTCCTGTCCGGAGGGAAAGCCTAAGGCCTATTTATCACTTAACCTCAGTGGTGCATAGGCTTTGTGCAAGCTGTGGCATAGGGATGGACTTCATTCATTTTCATTTTTCAGTCCATACAAAATACAGCTGCTAAAATCTCCCTTGTTTGTTGATTTGATCATGTCACTACCATCTTGGGAAAAATTCCTCCCCTGGTTCCTCATATGCTGTCACATCAGATTTAAGTGATTTTGTCCCCATCTTCAAAGCACTACATAACTTTTCTCCTCCTTATGTATCCTTCCTTGTTGGACTTTGGATTGCCTTGCTCTGCCAGTGTACTCACCCATTTGTTAGCTTCTCCCACAAATGCCTTTTTGCCTTTGTCCATGTGGCATTGTACAACTTCCCTAAATTCATCCACAGAGCCCTGTCCGCAGTTTTGGAGAGATTTAAAATTCCACTACTGCTGCAGTGGTTACAGTGAATCATGTTGACTCATATTAAAATCCCTGTTTGTGCCCATTCCCTGACCTTTGTCACCCTGTCTGTCCATCCTTAGATTGTGATCTTGCAACAGTGACAGTCACTTCTTGTGATTTTGGAACAGTGACAGTCCCTTCTTGAATGTCTAGAAAATGACTAGCATTACCATAAACAACTAATGAATACTACTCATAATAATCAGTGGCTTTCCAATAGATCTGTTTTTAAAAAAATAGTATGTGATGCGTACAAAATGCAAACAACATTACAGTTTGGACTTTGCCTTTATGAAGAGGCAAAATCAAGCCACATTTCACCGGTGATGACAGCAGAACGGGAGCTGAAGATCCAAAGAAGAAATCTATCTCATCACTTTTATTTTTCACATATTTAATTACACTCTTACGTAGAGGATCAGCATCATTCAGGCTGATAGTGAGAAAACAGGATGGAGAATCATGTGCGTGGAGGAAAATCTAATTTTCTCAGAGTATGTCTGTACTGCAAAAGCAAAACAAAAAAACCTGCAGAAGTGAGTCTCAGAGCCCATAACAACTGACTCATGCTCACACTACAGGCTAAAAGCGGCTGTGTAAATGTTCCTGCTCGGGCCAAAACTGGGGCTCTGAGGCCCACCCCACTCGCCAGATTTCAGAGCCTGTGCTCCAGCCCGAGCCCAAACATCTACACTGCTATTTTTAGCCCCATAGAGTGAGACTCATGAGCCTGATTCAGTTGACACGGGCTCTGAGCCTCGCTGCTGCAGGGTATGGGTTGGGTTTTTTGATGTGTAGATGTACCCTCTGAGCACTGTTTTGTGGACTTGCAATTTAGTTTCCACCTCCTATATTTTCCCTTTAATTCCTTCCACACAGTTGTTTAATTCTGCCAGTCAATGCAACTAGGATTTCCAATTTGGTGGTCCATTGATTTTGACAGCAGCTGTCATATTACTGGCTTCCTTATTGTTCTTATCCCATTCCCCTGGCCAGAGCTGACTTAAAAATGGAGGAAGAAAGGGAAATCATGAACACTTCTTCTAAAGTGTTTTCATTCCATTGGTTTTCAAAGTGGACTGTTTTTTTAAAAAAAATTCCATAGAATTTTAATAGTTTTTTTCATATTTGAAATTGGAATGTTCAAAAAACAATTTTTAAAATTTCAAAATGAAAATATTTCCAAAACAAGAAGTGTTGATTTTTTTTTTTTAAAGTCTCACTGGGTAACTACTCTGATCAGTCAAAGCTGGCAATGAAAAAGAAAAAAGGAAAACAAACTTCTGTTTGAAAATTTTGAAAACAGAAAATTTTGAGAAAATCATTTTGAAAGTTTTCTGTTTTTGAGAATTTTCAACTGACTTTTTTCTTTTTTCCCCTTAAAAACAAGTGTTTGAAGAAAAATGTTGTGAAGCTGTGTTGACTGATGGACACTTCATCTTTGCTCAGTCAGAATGGCCACTGAGACTTTCAGTCTGAAGGCTCTTGGTATGAAAACCAGATTTTTCTCCACAATTGATTTTTCCCCTCTAGTCTGTGGAATGAGTTCATTTTTAAGGACAGGATTTGGGGTTTGGGTTTTTTTGGTTGGTTTGTTTGTTTTTTAAGTGTTGTGAAGTTTCACTTTTATTCAGTTTGTCTCTTGCAATTCAACATGCAGAGCCTTCCATCAGATTCCTTGGAACAGAAGCATCTAAAGTGTTTTTCTTTGTAGTTGGATGGTGTTTGGAGACAAGAAATCTTATGAGGAAGCAAATAAGATTATTTTTCCTACTATTTTGCAGACATTCTTCCCTCTGTCATGATGTGTCCCACAGTATTGCCAATCCCAAGCATTAAAAAATCATGAGACGTTTAAATATATATATTTAATATTGCTATTGATTTTATATGGAAGGCATTCAGATACTGTGGTGATGGATGGTAAACCCCTGAGATGCTCCCATGCTTAAATGAGTTTAAACTCACTGAGGCCTTAGGAGTTTGGGGCTCTAGAGAACCTGATGTGGCAAACCAATTCCGTCCTTTGTATCTGTTTGTGCTATGTGAGCGCAGGGTTGGAACTTTTGTTAGCCAACCTATTTTATAATAGAATGAGAATAAATGCCTTAAGTGTTGGAAAAATGCCAAGGAATTGACAGAAATCAGATCTGATATTCAGTTACAAAGATACTTTTATTTAATCTGAATATAGTCCCTATGAAAAAGTCCTACAGAATTTAATAGTGATGAAACCAATAAGATTCTTTAGAAAGTACTCTGAAAAACCACAGAATTTGAGAATTGAGATCCTTTCCATAAAATCAGCCTATAGAATTGAATAGAGAGTGATGTCCCTCTATAGAATTCTACAGGCTTGTTTAAGAATTCTGTAGAACAGTTTTCATTTTCTGTTTGCCTCTATTATGACATTTATGTGCCCCCCCATTTACATTCTGTGTGAGCACCTCAAAATCTTTAACGTATCTGTCCTCACAACACCCATTGGATAGGGAAGTTCTATTACCCCAGTTTTACAGATGAGACACTGAAGCACAGAAAGACTAAGCGACTAAAGACCAAGGTCACACAGGAAGTCTGTGGCGGAGCAGGGAACTGAACTCAACTCTCCTGTGGCCTATGCTAATGTCCTAACCACTGGACTATCCTTCCTCTTCTCTTCAGTTATTATTATTTATACTGTGGTAGCATCCAGGCTTCACTAGTTGCTATCCAAACTCGGAAGAACAAAGTCCCTGCCCCAAAGAGCTTACACTATAGCACTTTTCCATGAGGCATATAAAACAAGTGTTTGGGAAAACATTTTTGACATATCCAAAAGATGCTAGTTGTTATAACCAGGTGGCTGGTGTGTATGGAACAAAGTTTACTGCTACTTGCTGGGTTTAAAAGTAGATTTTGTTTCTCACACTTTGCTGTTAAAATTTAGTCACTCAAACAGAAAAGGGGGATCATTACAGACTGCTGCAGGATGGGTAAATAAAGCTGAGTCTGGTGGTCAAGGGGACTGGCAAAGGCAATTACTCATGTGAACACATTTTACTCTTCTGATAGCTGAGAAACCAGTTTGGAATATTTCTCAGCAAGAATATATAAAGCCAACATTTTCTTCACTGTGTTCTTTCTTCTCTCTTTTCTGCCACCCCATACTGCAACACCCAAAATAAATTCCATTCCTGACCTAGGCAGTTTTTGCTTGTTAGTTTAGACACGAGCCCATCTCTGTGGAGTCTTGGGAAGAAAAAGATTTACTATAGAACCAGGCAGGGGGACTGAATGATGGTCCACACATAACTGGCAGAACAGAGGGATATGTCCTTATATGAACAAAGATGAATAGCTTAGTTTTCTTTTTCTCCTTTACATTTCTGTTGTCAGAAGTTAAATATGGCCAGTTTGAAATGCTTAGTTATTATAAGCCTCATGCCAGCTAGGAAATATAACTGATGTTAATGCCTGCTGTCAGCAATAGGTGCCGCTGAACTGGTGCTGTAAATGGTTTTAATGCAAGTATAGACAGGACCAAACTGTGTTCAGTTCCATTTCAGAAAACATGGTGGATCCTCAAGTGTCTACACTAGCCTTTTTAAAGAAATCTCCTACCATTTCATTATTACCAGTGCTGCTCCAGTAGTACAAGCAGTGGTGGGAATGCTGGCATAGACAGAGCACTGGTGATTTTAAGCTTAGGGACTCTTTCATTATGCATTTGTGCAGCACCTTACACAATGGGGGCGATCCTAATTTTAGCCTCTAGAACTATTGTAAAACAAATAATAGCATAACACAGCATTGCCATTAGCAAGGCAGTGTAGGCACTGTGCCTCCTGACACTCAGCCAGGCGCAAAAGATTTATGCATGCACTTAACTTTACTCACTGTGAGCAGTCCCAGTGGTCTTTGCAGGATCAGGGCCCTACTTGTTAATGGTAGGAGACACAACTATGCTTTGGCTGATTGTTACCCCTGACTTTAAATATGACTGATAAATTAATCAAAGCATTTGGCTTGGCAGTGTAGTAGTCATGTTTAATTAGGGTGGCTGTTTTGGCATGAT